GATACTTTAATCTAGATATATATTATATATCCTAATCAGTATCACTATATTATATATACTCAAATATACACTATTATAAAGGATAATAGCAGATAACAAGAGATAGTGGGAACCAGAGAGCAATAGATTCTGTCCAAAAATGAAAACTAAATTGATCATATACAATAAGAACTATATACCTCGATTATGTGCAAAATTGAAACCTAAATATAGCATAAAATACGGTATAAGGGGATATGATGGACTAGATTGCTCATGCGACGGAGGAAGAAGATGAAATTAGAACTTATAGTGTAATGGGTCGACGTAGCCACCGGAGACGAAGGAAGCGGGACGATGTTGCCCCATGAAATGCGACGGAGGCCGCCAGAGAAATCTTCTACAAATAATGGAGAAGCATCCGTCGGAGAAATCTCTTGAGAAACATCGACGATAAGCTTGAAGATGGAGAAATCGTACAGTCGCAACGGTGAAGAGGGAGAAACCGATGGAGATGAAGATGTTACGAAATCGTAGGTTTCTAAAAATCTCAATTTTAAAAATTTGAATTAGCTTAATTTTAGGGATTTGATATATTTTAATAATTATTTATCAATTTCATATTTTATTAATGATTTTATATTGAGATGAATATATTAAAAAACTTTGAAAATGTAAACCTTTATCTCCAAATATATATATATATATATAATATATATAATATATTTATTTATATTTAATATTTTGAAGTGGAGGGGAATTTTAAGTGATATTATTTGTTATTTTATACTTTTTTATTCCATCTATGGGATAATATTTTCAACGATATTATAGAAAATTAGAAGGATTCGGTAATGATGTGACCCTCAGACTGTGTGAGATAATTACCCATTTTAAAAATATAAAAAATCTTAAGAATGTGGATACAACGTTAACGATATAAATTAAAAAATAAGCTAAATTACAAAATTACCCATAAACTGTACCCCTCCTTTAGAAATACCTATGTTATTCCAAAAGTTTCAATAGTATCATTTACCTCAAAGTACTTTGAGCAAACATTCAATAATATTTTAAATGGAAAATTGGTCCGGTAAAACTTAGATAAAACGTTAACATTATATATATAAAAAACAGGTTAAATTACAAAATTACACCTAATTTGCCCTTTGCTTAAAAAATATCTCTATTCTTTCAAGAGTTTCAATACTATTCTTGACCTTTCATCAATGTTTCAAAAGTAAAAATACTTTTGAGTAAACATTCGTTAATATTTTAAATACAAAATCTGGAACAACGTTTGCACTAAAAATCATATTCCTTAATTGTCTACCCAATTTTGCATTAATTCCCTTTTACAAATGATAGTTTCTTCCACTTTTCCTCTCTTTTCAAGCTATTAGAGTCTCACAAAAATGGCTAAAAATGCCACAACCCATTACCATTCAAAGCTAAATCAAAAGATGGAGAAAAGCTAAACTGATCAGTTAAGGTATACATCATCAACCGAAAATGTTAGAAGTTTGAATTCTCATGCTTTCCATCACAATTTTTCCCTGAAGCAACTAGGAGATCACCCAATTTTGAAGATTTCTCTAAGTCAAGCACGCTTCTTACTATTGAGTTATCGAAAAAGAAGATCCACCTTGTTATTATAGGTAGTAACTATAGTTCTTTTAAGTCTTTTCTTGATCATTCTTCTATGGTCTCAGGATCCCTCTCATTCAAATATGGTATCGGCTCATTATGTATCTCTCCTCTCTACTCAGGCCTCACATTTACATTGATGACACTATGTTGTATGTGTATAAGAAAATTGTCTTTAGAGAAACAACGGTTATTCTTCTCTTATATGTAGACAACAATCGTATGAAATTGCAAAAGCTTAAAAAGGAACTTGACAGTGAATTTGAGACAAATTAAGGATTTAGGGGCAGTAAAAAGAATCCTCGGGATGGAAATAAACTGACACAGACGTAGAGATTTCTTACCTATTTCTCAAGGATCCTAACATCTTCACAAAGATTGTACAAAAATTCGTCTGTTAAAACACCTTTGGCTCAACAATTCAAGCTTTCAACTACTCAATAATCAAGCTAGAGTTTAAAAGGATTCAATATCTACAACAGGAAATTCATTTCAAGAGGGTGAATTGTTAAAATCACGATATTGCCTGTTATTTTGTTAACTTGAAGCTTAGAGACTTAATAAGATTCTCTCTCTGGCTCTAACAGTGGATGTAAACCAAAAGTGTCGAATCACTGTAAACTCTATCGTTATTTTTTCTGTGCTATTTCTTTGTGTTCTCTTATGCTTAAACTTCCTGCTAGCTCTTAAAGATTGTAATCTTCTAATCAACAAGTGGTATCAAAGCCATAGTCTAAACCTAACTGTGTCAGTGAATCCTCGAGTGCCGAACAAAGAAGTGGTGAGTCAAGATATAGTCATGGTGTAATTTGGGTGTTCTCTATCAAGGTGTGGCGGAAGCCTTGGATAAGAGCACGATCTCGTTCGAGTTCGAGAGTAGACGGATGAGTGACTACTTGAGGGGAGACTTGATGGTCGTACTCTGTTTGAGGGGAGGATTGTTGGATTTGTAAGGTGAATGCATATAAACAAAGTCTCACATTGGCTAGGGAAGAGCATGATCTATGGTATATAAATGAGGACAATTATCTTCTTAAAAGTATGTGAAGCTTTTTCGGTGAAACCAAAAGCAAAGTCGCGAGGGTTATTGTCCAAAGCAGACTATATCATGTCATTGTGGAGATACTTGAGCTACTGAGCGTTTTATTACGATATTTTCTGATCTCGAAGGAAAGTAGTTTTCTTCTGAAATCATCCAAAACTCCAAACGGTGAGCATGTCGATACCTGACAACACCATTTCAGCCGAAAAGAGTGGGGAGCGACCCAGATAGATCTCGCCTTGCTGTTACGCCATCAGTGCATGCCAATGGCGAGATTGACTGAACACAGTCAGTGGCCACGGCTAAATTGGCACTTAACGAGCTTATGGGAGAGAATCTCATCCCCTCTTACCAAACGAATTCATCACCGGTCACCTATAAAAGAGTTGGGTGATGACTATCTAAGTACGTTCGAATCTCTTTTGAAACATTTTAATCAATTTCTCCAACTTTGACATCGAAGTACTTACTTCTATTTGTCTTTGTCTCTTACTTGGCAGATTGGATAAGCCTTATCTATGCACGAATATTTTCCAAACAATTTCACTTATTTAAAAATGTCCTAAAAACAACAGCCCCCCAAAGTCAAAGATGATGAACGTGTTGATATATTATATTATAGAATATTACTTTGTCCTTACGAAAACTTTGAAAAATCGCTGGCCGGTTCCAAAAGGTCGGCTGCCAAACTTGGAAATTTGGCACAATTTTGAAGCTCACAAATGACTATAAAATGGCACTTCCAATCCAATAATATTAGCCATATCCAAACCCAAATCACACAAGAAAAAATCCATACCAAAAACCACCCTTCAACATGTCGGAATGTCCTCCAGGTATACCTCTTAATCTGGTTTTCAAAATTGCGTTACTCGTTCTCATTATTCGTATATTTCAAATCACGATCTACCTTAAATTTTTTTTCTTTTTATTAGAAGAAAGAACTTCGATTATCTTATAAAACTTGTCAGTGTCATCTAGGAAAGATAGAGAAAAGTTATATATACTTTTGTTTTCACTCAATTTCAAAGTGGTATATACTTTAGAAAGTATTTTGTGATCAGTTCGTGTTTTGCATTTCTTTTTTTTTCATAAAAGTTGTATGAGTTAGAATGTATTTATGCATCCGTGTTGTGAGATATCCTGTGATTAGTATGTTTAATTGGATAATTGTAGGTGATGTTCGGTAGAAAATTTAACATGAAATCTATTTTTGAATAGGGAAAAGTGATTGGCCAGAGCTTGTCTTTACAAAATTTGCTATTGCTGCTGCAATCATCGAAAAGGAGAATCCCAATGTCAAAGCTCACAAGATCTTAGCTGGGAGTCCGAGAATTTTGAATTTCGATTGTACACGAGTTTGGGTTGATGTCAATATTGAAGATGTGGTTGTTGAAATTCCTAGGGTCGGTTAAAAATTACATAATTATGTATGCATAAGTTATATGTATGTGTATGTATGCATACATTTAATGTATTGAAATTACTAATAAGGTAGTATCTGCCTACCACTTCAATTATTAATTGCTTCAAAAATATCTCATTATCATGAAGTATTTGGGTGGCATGCTTTTTACTATTTTTCAATTAAAATTTTGAATTAATTGCTTCTATCAATAAGATAAATGTATTTTTTTAAGTTCTTTTTCATTACTCTTCTAAACAAATTATGAAGCCAGATTAAAAAAAGTCAATAATTTTAGAAGATGATTTGGAATCTTTAGATTTCATGTTTTATAGCGGTTTGGTAACGTTACTGTTTTCTATTCCTGTTTCTCATCTTTTGAGAAATAGACATATTTCATAACCAAAACCATTTCTCATTTTTAAAATTTGAGAAAGGTTTCGAAGACCACTCTAGCCACACCTTCGTAATTCCAAATACCTGAATTCGTTATAGTCCATACTCCAATCCCCATGAGTTGGTTCTTCCTAAACGAGTTATGAAGGGTATAACGAACCTACCTTGTCTCCACATTGGATCAAGAACAAGATCGGAGGAATAAAAAACTGCTAATTCGTATAACGCTATTGAACCGACCCAACCAACAACTTGCTCTTTTCATATAAAAAGAGTTAAAGGTAGAAACTCGTCTCACGTACGGTTCAAAAAGAGGAACCATATTGAGGAGGCGTGTTAAAGATTTCATATTGAAAAGATAAAGGGACCTAACAAAATGTTTGTGATAGACATGAATCATTACTTCTCTCTTTGCTAATTGGTTCTGAGAGGGGCGATATTTGGAAGTACTTCAAAAATAAGGGCTTTTTAAGAATAAAAATATTATTATAATTACTTATAAGTGTTTAATGATTTGTTTGATATGGTTAAAAATATATTAATTTTTAATGAGACTTTAATCGGTGGACGCACGTAAAATGGATGACAAGCTAAATCATTACATATTAAAATTTAGGAACTAGAACGTTATTTTAGTGAAAATATAAATATCAAATGTGTTTTTAAACCTTTTATTTGTAAAACCATTTTGAAGAACTACGGTTGACTAGTTTGTAGATGTTAAATTTACTATATATTTTAAATAATAAATTTATAAGCCAGTATGTTTTTTATGCGAGGAACAAGGGGAAAAGAGTTATCCAAATATTTTAATTTTATTTTTGTTCTAAAAAACAGAACTATTTTTTTAAATTGCCTTTTTTTTCCTATACCTGTTTCTGGTCTTTTTTATTCGAAAAAGAAACATAAACATATTAGATAATTTAATCATTTATTGTTTATCTAGTTCTCTAACATTTTAAATTAAATTTTTTATAAAATTTAATTATTTAAATTATTTATGCTATATTTATTTTTTAATATTTATTCTATGTATTTTATAAGTTAAGAATGATATTCATGTTTTGTAAAAAAAATTATAAACGAGAACAATAAACCTGAATAATATATGTATACAGGGAAAAAAAAAATATGGCCAGAGCTAGAAGAGCAAAATCTAGTATTGCAGTTTGGATCATAGAAAAATAGAATTCTAACGTGAAAGTGATAGTCATCCTAGCAGGCGCCGTGAAAATTTTAGATTTTAATTGTGAACGAGTTTGGGTTGATGTCAATATCTAAGATGTAGTCATCCAAAATTCCTAACGTTGATTAGAGACCATGTTGATTTATATATATGTGCCATTATGTGCACGTAATGAAATTAATAATAAGATAATAGGGTAGTTCAACAGGTTCAGGCATATATGTCGGATTAAAATGTATTTACTTTAAAAAACAAAAAATATAAAATAAAATAAAAATAAAACTACCATTTAGCGACCTATCATCATCATCTGCTCTTTCAAATAATTTTTATACTATTGAAAAAAAAAATGCTTATCATAAACTTTTCATAGCACCTCCCTTGTTCCGGAGATTTTTAATAGTACTTTTTTTATGCTTTGCCAAATATTATATGTGTGGGAGGAATCAAGTGTGATTTTTTTAGTATAATATGTGGGGAGGAGATTCGAAGTCACAACCTCTTGGTTGGAGACATATACCAATTACCGCTGAGCTATGCTCGTTTTGGCAAATCAAATGTGATTTCAGACTACCAGCACTAAAATGTTACATTACAAAACATCAATATTCACCTAAATTTATTACAGTGATGACTAAATAATAAATTCATGTGCTAAATCTCGTTCCAAAACTACATAAACTATATTATTACATACTAAAGTTCATAAATTAAACTGTCACTTATCCGTTCAATGATTAAGGTCAACCCAGAAGAAGTCGTTGGGACATTTTTACATAAAATTAATAAATGATATAAATGTCTTAAATGCCAATTGAGTTGACAGTACTCACAAATTAACTTTAATTTTACCCCAAAAAAAAATCTTCTTTTTGTTTTAATATAGGGAGGGCCCAACAAATGCTCCACACAATGGCATGATATAATTTAAAGGTTTATTAAACACAAAATTCAATACTATACACAAATTTAAAAGTTAAGCTACATTTGAAAATGGGAACTAGAAAGAACTCCAAGTGATATTGTTCGTTTTGGGCATAACCCTCACGGATTTGCTTTGGTTTCACCCAAAAGACCTCATTCAATGGAGATAATTGTCTTCTCTTATATACCCACGATCATTTCCTTCATTAACCAATGTGGGATTTTGTTTGCACTCTCCTTACAAACTCAACAAGAGGAGAACAAGCGCTTCTTGCGTTATATATTCAAATTTTCAAAGGGAATGTCAAATTTTAGATTAAATTACAAATTCAATCTTTGAACTTGATGATTATATCTATTCAATTACCGAACTCAAGACGTTTTAATCACATCATTGAATTTTCGACTATTTTAAAGAAATTTGAAAGGAATATGAATAAAAAGATTAAGGTTAACAAATTTGAAAGGTAAACAATCAAAATTGATAGAAATTTATGAACGTATTAATTATGGGATTTTTTTAGTAGTGTATATTTTCAATATTACAAAAAAATTATGAAAAGTAATAAGTATATTCTTTCATATTTTTAAATTTAATTTATAATTAACAACTAAATTAAATAGATACCAATATTATATATTATATGAAAAATATGAAATCTTCCGGACCTTAGACGATCGCCTCACTCGCCTATAGCTTAAGCCGGTCTTGTATGTGCACATAATGAAATTAATAATAAGAGAATAAGGTAATAGCCAAGCTTAGCATGGTTCAACGAATTAAGGTATTTATGTTCAATTAGAATTTCGTGTGTTAGTACTTTAAAAAAAATAAAAATAAAATAGAACTACCATTTCAACATAAACTTTTCGTGGCACATCCCTTGTTCTTGAAAGTTATTTTTTAGAGTACTTTTTTCGATGCTATGCCAAATATTTTATGTGTGGGAGGAATCAAATGTAGTTTTAGACTACAATCACTAAAATGTTACGTTACAAAAGATCAATATTTCACCTTAAGGAAAATTTATTACAGTGAAGACTAAATAATTACAAAATTAAATCGCTACTTAATCCGTTCAATGATTAAGATAAAAATTTTTTTATCTTAAATACCAAGTTCAAACTGGTGACCGTTCAATGATTAAGGTCCACCCAAAAGAAGTTGTTGAGACAGTTTTACATAAAACTAATAAGTATCTTAAATGCCAATTGAGTTGAGAGCACTCACAAATTAACCCCAAAAAAACTTCTAAAATAGGACCCAACCGGGTTCAAATTGGTGACCTCTTGATCTGCAGTCAAATGCTCTACCACTGAGCTATAGATCCATTATATTTGAAAATTTACCTTTTTTTTGTTTATTATTTATTATCGTTTTTTTAATTTAACAAAAAGTAGAAATTCGAACTTACAAAATATAACTTATCCTCAGGTTAGAAAAGTATAACTTATCCTCAGGTTAATACTTTTCTAAGTACAATTATGTAGACGAGAGATTGAAACTTCAACCTCAAGATTATTGAGTATATCCAAACTAGACTTAATACTATTTACCTGTATTCCCTAAGATCTTACCTGTGCATCATAAGAATCGATCAATCAGTTCGAATCTTTTTTATTATACATGTACCCACTGAGAAGAATGAGAAATTACGGCATTTCATTCACAAAGCTATCTTCTAGTTCTTCACAAATATGTCTTAACTACTCAATTATGCTCAGTTGGAAAGGTTGGCAATTTTGAAAATGATAAATAACCAGCATTAGACACATCATTACATACGTCTATATCTTATTATAAAAGGCGAAATACAGTAAATATAGAAGAGTGTCAACAAAATAGAAAACCCAGCAATCCTGACAACAATAAAAAGAGTAAAAATCTTCTTGAGCTCAAATGAGCAGCAAAATGAAAGTTTTGGAGTCTACAAATGCCTAAATATAAATTCCTTCGAAACCATCAGCATTTTCACAATTTTATGTCGACGCATTCTAACAAAAGCATCACACCATCACCAGTACCATTGAAAGTACTTTCTTTCCACATTGCTTCGGGTCCTTGCGTTATGGACTAGGATGATTTCAGTGGCGCCTGCCCAAAACGAGCAAGTTTTAGATGAAAAGCCAATAGACAACGTAACGAAAGCAGATTTCTTGCATTATATATTCAAATTTCAAAGAAAATGCCAAATGGAACGTCAAATTATAGATTAAATTACAAGTTCAATAATTGTATCTATTTAATTACCAGACTTCAAGGCGTTTTTAATCACAACATTGAATTCTCGATTATGATGAGTCTTTACTTAACACTGTTAGTTAAATGTTGACCACGTTCATCAATCTAGTGAATGATGATCTGCCATGACATGAGAACGAGTGGCACCAAGTAGGTCAATTGGACAAACTAATGGAATGCAACCAAAAAAAATCGATTTAAAATTCATTGTCTATCTACCTCATCGAATCTTTTAGCCCGCATATCTTTATTTTATCCAATTGACCTACTATTTATGCCACCTTATTATCATGTCACGTCAAATCATCGCAAATTCAATCGATATGTCGTGTCAATATCTAAGTAACAAGGTTAATGACGAGAACTCACTATAATCAAAATCGAAAGTTCAATAATGTAAATGAAATTTCCTAGAGTTTGGAGGACTAATAGACGATCATTAAAAATTCAGAGACTCGATCTTAATTTAATAAAAAATTGTTATCCTCCAGATCAATCTGTCTCATCCCATGTCTACAGACATAGCTGAACTCATAGGTGATGAGTATTATAGACAATAAACAAAACTTCATCATCCGGAAACTGCAGCCAGTAAAAACAGATGAACAGGTGAACTCAAGTTAATACAAAAAATAGATCATTTTCCTCTATTCTACATACAGCGGATTGGAGATTGAAAACTATTCAAGTCCAGGATCCCCGATGGTCAAATAAATAAATTTAATTATATATATACATATATCTTTTATCGTACTTCTGAAAAAACCACAGGCTAGTTTCAAAATTCAGCATCTCATTATTCAATATCCAATATCCAATATCCCACTCCAATATTTGTCAAGTAGTCTAACAGTTCAACTATAATGTAGTATGTTTTACGATGGTTAAAGAGAAGTGACCTGGAAATTAAGAAAATAAGATACTAACGAAAAAGTAATGAACTTCGATAAAATATGAATCTTGTGTTGCATTTGCGCAATTCAGTTTCACCTTCCCTAGATTTGAAAGGTGAACACACCTAAGGACACTCCCTGTCGTAGGCTAATGAGGCAATGTCTCCTTGCATCTTATTTCACGTCATCAAGCTTAATCTTCCCAAAAGATAAAAAAAGACATCATTTTTTGGCTATCGATCAATTCTCACATATTTCATTTCATTTACGAAAAATTAATAAAAATAAAAACCTAGGCTAACAATCCATTCCTCCTCACCAAGTTCCCAATTCCTTGCCCACCCTGGCCACATGACTTACCACCTGACAAGATGAGACCCTCCACCCTGCTCAATTCCCTCAAATAAAAAGAGGTTCTATGTCCATCTAAAGATCTTTTGCAAGTCCATGTTCATCCAACGACATCCAAAATCTCCCTCAACAAACCAAAATCTTCACGAAATGCCAAATGTACTTTACTACTCAACCAGTCATCGGGGATAAAGAATCAAGCAAGTAGGTAAAGAATGGAAGGGTCTCTTTTATTTGACCGGGTAAATTGGGGTTTGGTTTCCTCTCCTCTTGTGGGACCCTCGGAAGATCCTTCCAGAGCTCATGTCCATCCTAATGACATTGAATTTGAAATATTCCTCCATGCACTAACAATTGTCACAAATGTAAACACATACTCTAGAAAGGCTTACGGTCAAGTAAAATTAGGAAGTAGTTAGGGGCATTCCTAGCCTTGACTTTAGGTGATGGAATCGGGTTAACCACTCATTGGGGGCAAAAAATTGAACAATCAAGGTAAGACATTAGGAACTCTGTGACTAGGTAATCCTCCCCCTGTAAGGTAAACGGTAAACCAAGCTCATCTGGATTTATTTATCGAAGTAACCTCTTTATTCTTTTTCTTAGAATTCTTACCCTTAAGCCTCACATATTGTCTTCTTTTTTTACTCCGGTTAATGAAAAATCTTCCTTTCGCTCCTTCCATAATAGTCCAAAGTCCTTCCTCGTAGCTTCAAGTTCACCCAGACAGGAACAATTACGTTACTCTTGCATTGCTAGTTACTATGGGAATCTCCAGAAAGTTACCCTCTTGTTGGTAATTTTCTGGATTCATAGGAAATTCACATACCAGTGAAGGGGTTGGGTAATTTAAAGGCTCCAGGACTGGACAAGATGACCTAACGAGTTTAAAAAAAATTGGAACATTTTGAAAAAGAATATAGTAGAAGTGTTCCAAGAGTTTTTTGAAAGTGGGATCATCAATAAAAGAACCAATTAGTGCATATCGCCCACACTTTATCCACTTCATGGGCGTTACAACCTACTTTTCTTTAGTATGGTTGTGACATTATCCTCCACTTAAACTGTCATCATCCTCAATAACATACTCATGGAGTACAATCTGAATAATGCACTTAGGATTGTAACACTTGATATTTGTCTTGTTCTCAAGAAGTTGCAGGCAAACAAATCAATGAATATTAGACCTATCAGTCTAGTCACATCATTGTACAAAATCTTGGATAACGTGCTAGCTGAAAGACTTAAGAAAGTTCTTCTTTTGATGCTTCTCAAGCGGCATTCATGGAAGGAAGACAGAGTTTAGACGAAATTTTAGAGGCTTCGGAAGTGGTGAGTGAGTGGAAGTTAGAAGAAAGATAAATTCTTGTTGAAGCTCAATTTTGAGAAGCTTACGATAAGATAGATTGGTCCTATTTAAATTCTGTTCTTGAGTATAAAGGCTTTGGAAACCGGTGGAGGAAATGGATATGGGGGTGTATTCCATCAACCAACTACTTTATCTTCATTAACTGCAGACCACGAGGCAAATCTTCACAAGAAAGGGCCTTAGAGAAGGGGATATGCTCTCTCCTTTCTTATTCATCTTAATGGGTGATTCTCTTAGCAAAGCCGTCCATTTTTGCTGTGAAAAAGAGGTTCTTAAGAAGCTGTCCGGTTGCAGTTAAAGAGGTGTAGATTTCTCACATGCAATTTGCAGATGACACTCTCAACTTTTGCAAGAACGTTGAGGGAAATCTTCAAAACTAGTGGACCTTTTTGTCTCTCTTTTTGCTTGGCTCTGGTTTTTCTCTCAACCTTGATAAAACTACCCCTATTGATCAAGGTTGATAGAGAAGAGTTGAGAAATCAATCCTCAATTGTAGGCAGACGTTGAAGAGCTTCCTTTCAAATGCCTAGGAGTTCATCTTGGGGAAATCACATAAATAAATCTCATGCTATTCAAAGGAGGAAAGCATACTCTCGCCCTTCCGGTCATAAATAGCTTGCCTTTGTGTATGTTCTCCATTTTCGAAGCACCCGTCAGAGTTATTAAAGTGGGGGAGATATCAAAAATTTCTTTTGAAAGGGCAGAGATGGTCGCAATAGTAGTTATCTTGTGATTTCCACCTCCCTCCCCAAAAATACGGTGGTTTGGGAGTGGGGTCCTTCAAACAAAGGAAAAACGCCCTTCCCCTCAAGTGGTTTTGGAGATTTATGCAAGAGGATGGCTCATTGTGGAAGCACATCATTGCTAGCATCTACGAAACTGACCCTATGGCTGGCTTACTCTACTTCCTAAAGGGAGAGCAGCAGGGAGAACTTGGTTTGCTATAGCCAAGAATGGCTCCTTTCTAACGTTCATAGTTTTCAAGTTGAAGAATGGACAGAGAATCAAATTTTGGGAAGATTCTAGGCTGGGGGCCAACTCTTTAAAAGATTTATTCCCAGACTTGCACTCCATCCCCACGAGAAAAGAGTTCACTTTGCCAATTGTTGGAGAGAAGACCACTGTGATTGGGACTTGGGGTTTAGAAGAGGAATCCTTTTTTTCTTTTTTTTATAACGGGGAGTTGGAGCTTTGTTGCCCTATACTTAGGGGCACCTGCGTCCACCAAATCAAGGATTTTTGGTATTAAACTTAAGTCTCGAAGTTGAGACCTCTAAACCAGTATGACCAAGAGACCCCATCCTAAACAGAGAAATGGGAAGAGCGGGCTTGGTTTAGTATAAAAATTTGATGCCATCCGCCTAGGGGAAAGAGATATCTCAGAAGCTGAATCCTTCGGAGTCTTGCACATAGATGCCTAAATAATCCAGATAAGTTACGGAGAAAGTTAGGAAATTGGGTTATATCCCCTCAGTTTTCTGCCTCTATTTAAAGAATGGGGAAAGCTTGGACCATCTCTTCTTATGCTGCCAGAGGGTAGGATTTTTCAATAAATCAACTAGGCATCTCTTGTTGCTTGCCCACATCAGTTGAAGATAGGAGGATTTAAATGGGTGGTTCTTAAGATGCAAAGCAAAAGTGCTAGGTGGCTCTGCAATGAAAGCTTTTCTGTGGGGCCTTTATAAAGAAAGAAATCAAAGAACGTTAACAACACTTCGATTTGTTTCTGATTTTGCTCCTTCTTTTTGTTAACGTACTTTTGTAACAACAACTACATTTATTCTTTGTGATGTCTTAATCACAACTAATTCTTTTGTATTTACAGCTTCCCGTGATTGGGAAGCAGTCCTATACGTTGTCTTGGGTTTTTTCTATCCCCTGCCCTCAAGTTGTCTGGCCCTTTTCATTGATATTAATATTACTCTCCTTTCTTATCCCCAAAAGAAATATTCGTTGAAATAAGAATAAGAAATCTTTAAATCTCTAATCTGCCTAATATCTTCTGGTTAAGGGGCTAAGGATGAGGTCAATAAAAGAGTAGTGTATCCAAAAACCCAGTTCATGATTTGCTATAATCTCAAAGACTTGCTCCTCTCTGATATCTGATCATTCTACTACTCCCTTCTCTACCCTCAAAAAAGAACATAAGCTGAAAATGCCTCATTTAAACCAAATGATAGGTAAAAGGGGAGAACAAATGTAGCCGTTGTCAAAGCTAGTCAGTAAAGCAGAAAGGAGCAAAATCAGAAACAAGACAGACTTCGAGAGATTAGAACTTAAGGGAGAAACCCATCTTCCCTCCCCAAAGCAAATTTTTTATTCTTTTTTAAGTATTAACTTTTTAATCCTACATTGGGATAGTTACTTGCAAATGCCTTCGTATAGCTCTGTTGGTGAATTCTACCAATTATTTTTAGCAGACTTGTCAAAATAAAAGTGAAAACTCAATGTCCACATAAAAAGTGGTATATATAAATCAATAGGGCACTATTTATTTTGAATTTTCTTTTCTTACAAGACATTGTGTCATTGGAAGATATCCATTTGATTTTTCTATTTCTTATCAGCTTTTGTAACAAGGCATTGTGTCATTAGGTCCATGTAATTGGCCTTTTTGACTTTCCATAGGTACTGGAAATGCACTTTTTTCCTTTTTTTTGTAGTTTTTTTAATAATGTAGATGATGTCATTTAAAATTTAAATAATGCACCACTGGTGAAAAGTAATTTACTTTTCAGAAACATTAAATTGTAAATTATATTGCTAGCTTCTGCCCATGGTCCATGGAAAGACATCATAAAGCTCCAATCGCTAGTTCGTCACAGAATTTTGTATAGGGTGGGTAATGGTTCTCTCCCTTCGTTTTGGAAAGATGCCTGGTTGAACAATGAGCCATTGTGCACTGCATACCCTCTCCTTAGTGCACAGGCCCCTCCTTTTTGCCCTACACTCTAACAAATTTGCTGCTGTAAAGGAGTTTTGGTCAGCTGATACAAACTTTTGGGATATAAGGTTTAGAAGAAATCTCAAGGAAGCTGAAAATGCGGAACTTGCATCACTCCCTACAACCTTTCTTCCACTCAACTCGCTATGGCATGGATAGCACTTTTTGAAGTTTGGAACCAACCGGTCTCTTCTCAACCAGCTTCCTCCTACGTGACTTGCCAAAGTCCACAGGATCTACTGAAGATATTTCTTTATATAGATCCATTTGGAAAGATCACTATCCAAAGAATATAAAGTTCTTTCATTAGGAGACCAGCCTATACGCACTAAACACCAATGACAAGCTTCAAAAAAGGATGCCTCATTTGTACATCTTCCCACAATGGTGCATCCTTTGCAAACGAAACGGTGAATCCATTGGTCATGTTTTCACCACTTGCAAATTCTCCACGTCTGTGGAACAAAATCCTAAATATCTTTGGATGGTCAACCGTTCTTCCCTCAGATATGTGCCTCCTTTTGACGTTTACACTCACTGATCATCCTTGGGCAAAAAGGAGGAAAATTGCTTTGGATGCATTTTGTTCAAGCTTTGCTTTGGTCCATTTGGATGGGGAGGAACCACAGGATCTTCCAAGACAAAGAACAATCTCCTCAACATATTTTTATGCTTCTCTTTACCAATTGGAGGAGAGCTTTTTTTAACTCCCTTTGATTGGGTCTTCTCCCATTTCGTACTCTAATTTCATTTAATCAATGAAATGGTTTCTTCTCAAAATATATATACACACACAAAATCTTCTAATATTTTTTAAAATTTAACAAATTTGACTGTCATTGCCACTTTTGTGTCTTGGTTTCTTTTTGCGTGTGTGGTGGGGAGGGGGTTACATGGTAAACTAGAAAAGGATTATAAGTAAACAAATTACTAATACAATAGCAAAAGATTGTAATATAATTTTTTGTTACCTTTAGAAGTGGGAGTAATTCGATTCATTGACATAAAAAGGAGAAACGCTGAATTTTCAAGCATAGATGTCAAAAAACAAAGAACCAAAAGTAGAATTAATTTGAAAATTGAAAATCACAGGAATGAGAATAAAGAAGCAGAAAATAACCTTGCAAAGACTTGTTATAGTAGTCCTCAACAAAGAATCTCCAACTATCAGTCTCAGCTGTCTTACAAACTCATCACGATTCATCTTCTTGGCCTAGAAAATAGTATCCATATAAGTAACATTCCAATTACATGAAAAGAAGCAAGACGTAAAATCTAAATTTCAAATTACCCTGAATTGTTCGTATTGAATATTAACAAGTTCCATGTCTTTAGAAGAAACTTTATTAGAGATAGCAGCAAACAGCATGGAGAAAGGCATCCATGGAGACTTGGGCATTTTCAGGGGGCTGGAACCTACACTAGCTGCTCTTTCATGAGATCTCCCAACATCTAAAGGTCGACCATCGCTATCCTAAAAGACAGATCAATACTTCCAAGTAAAGCCACGTGCTAAAAGATCAAAGATAAATAAAGGTTACATATCTAGACAGATATATGCGTTGACTTGGAATGCAACCTAATAAACATGTAAAACAGCAAATCCAACACGAGTTCCAGATATAATTGCTCTAGTAGTCTGTTCAAGATTTAAAACACCCTTAATCTTTTGCCATAAAGAAGTAAGACTGAAAGAAACAGGTTGATCTCAATAATTGTTATAAGAATAGGAAAGGAAGGAATAACCTTAGACATCAAAAGAAAATCTATGACTGTATTATGTTCCAACTTCCAAAATCATAAGAAACAGTCTATTCAAAATACACTAATCCTTTTCCAGCCAAAAACGCCAAATGCCAGCCCAAGGCCCCACATCTAAAGGAATTTAGGCTTTTGATTAACACTTTTACTTACAAAAAATCTTTATAAGAGATGCAACACATCTATATGTGTTTTGTGTGCCGCCACTTGCGAAGACCAAGCGCATTTGTTTCTCTTTTGTCCTTATGCATCAGTTTGTTGGGATCTTTTCTTTCATATGTTCAATTTAGCTTGGGTAAAAGACAAGTCAGTATCTTCATCAATTTTTCAGTTGCTATTTGGTCCTTTCTTTTCGCCTAAAGCAAGTCTTCTTTGGGTAAACGGCCTTATAGCGCTTATATCTGAGTTATGGTTTGAGCGGAATCAAAGGACTTCCGAAGGGAAAAGCCCCTCAACTTTCAAACGCTACAGTATAGCTAAGTTCAAAGCCTCACAATGGTGTGCTCTCTCCAATCTCTTTGCAAATTATTCTCCTAGCATGATTTGTTCTGATTGGGAGGCTTTTTTGTGTAATGTTTAAGCTTCATTTATTAAGTTTGGTTTGTTTGTATCTTTTTTATTTTTTTTCCATCTTCATCCCCTTCATTTCACCTCTTCAGGGGTTTGTATCTTTGAACAATTTTTGTTCCTTTTCATTTATCAATGAAAAGTTCGTTTCTTATTCAAAAAAAAGAGATGCAACACATCTCTAACATAAGTGTACCCACACTTCCCTTATACACTATGAATGCTTGCATTTTCATCATTACGCTTTCGCCCTCTCCTATTTATGAGGTACTAAAATAACAATGAGGTCTCAATAGTGAAAGACTTAATGTAACAAATAGTTTACATATGTGCTCACTGACCACACCTCCCTTATAATAATATCCTTTTTCTAAAGACAAATATATTTATTTATTTATTTTTGGGTAAAATACACTTTTGATCTCTGAAGTTTTAGGTACGTGTCTATTTAGTCCCTAAAGTTTCAAAATGAGTATTTTTGTCCTTGAGATACGAGAAATAGTTCTAAATGGTCCCTCAACACCATTGACCTTTAGTTGACTAATCAAAAAAATTTGATGTGGAGGTTAAATTGCTGATTGTACTTGCTCACTAGGCTAAATATATTAATTTTAATATTATTTTTCTGGTAACAAAATTGTGAGGGGTCGTTTTTCCTCTTTCTTTCTTCCTCTCATCTCCTTCTTCGTTCCTTCTTCTTCCCCTTCGGCGAACCACGCTGTTGTTGCCTCCAAAACGTCCTTTGGAATGAAAAATAGTGTCACTGTCGGTTGCAGAACTAGCGACTCCGATAGTCTCTTTCATGCTTAATCGTTCGAGACTCGCGAGAGAAAGAGGGGTGGAAACGCGATCTTTTCGTTAGAGGTTCGAAGCACCTTCCACTCTAGATTTGTCGTCTTCTAAACTTTTTCAGACAATTTGCATCACTTTACCAACTTTTCCCAAAATCAAACCCATTATATTTTATTTCTTTCACCACCCATCCCAAAATGTTGAATGTTCCTCATTCAATACAGGAACCAAACCCACCAAGAAATTTTCCAATTCCCTTGTACCAGAATTTCCACGATGAAGCGGACTTTTTCCGACACCAGACACTTAATCATTCTAGATCCAAAACATCCGCTGCTTCGTTCCATAGGCATTCATCCTCTAAAGATGGAGGCCCCAACCAGCTAGCGGGAAGCAACAACAACCAGCGAGATACAAAGATGACGGTGATCGGCAAGAAACGGGAGGCGACAATGGCATGGTTCGCCGGAGGGGAAGAAGGAGATGAGAGCAAGAAAGAAAGAGGAAAAATGTCACCTCATAATTTAGTTACCAAAAAAACAATATTAAAATTAATATATTTAGCCTTGTCAGCGAGTATAATCAGCAACTTAACCTCCACATCAATTTTTTTGGTTAGTCAACTAATGGTCAATGGAATTGAGCGACCATTTAGAACTATTTCTCTAAGCTCAAGAACCAAAAATACTCCTTTTGAAACTTCAAGAACTAAATAGACACCTACCTCAAACTTCATGGATCAAAAGTGTCCCTTTTGGAAACTACCAGGACCAAATAGACACCTACCCTAAACTTCAGGGACCAAAAGTGTATTTTTTCCTTTATTTGTTAATAGGCAAACTGGCAAAGACAGCCAAATTTATTAATGTGAAGAAATTACAAGAAAAGAAGAGAATGAGGAATCCTCAAAGAGATAAAATAAAACCTATAATCTTTATAATACTATTCAATAGCAATTCAATCAATATCTCAATGACCTCATACATAAAGACAGGAGCTAAATTCAATATGTACATGAAAGCCAAAATTTACAGTGAAATAAGAAGTATAAATCACTTTTTTCAAAACCATAATATTACACAAATTATGGTTGGAAACTAGTATTGATCTGTAGATTATTGAAATCTTCAGTTCTGTAAATCTCATGATGAATGATGGATGAAAAAATGTGTTCATCACAGATCAGAAAAACTTCTCATAAAAAAACAATATATGGAAAAACAGGAAAAAGGAACGAAAGAAAGAAAGAAAGAAAGAAATTGAAACAACAATTTTTAGATAACGTCGGATAGAACTGTTATTCATTCACCACAGGGGTAAAAAGTTAAGGAAGTGTTCAAGAGGTCCCTACCGTGTACTCCTTAAGTCCTAAGACTTCACCCAAAAGAGAGTCCCACTCTCTAAGCAATCTATCACCTGGAGTACACACTGACAGTGACGGCCACCCTTTCTACATTCACAGTAACCGGTATATAGACTTTCCCATCACCCTCTTCCTAATATATGCTTAAATCATCATGAGTCTATCAGGGTTGTATGCTATAAGCAGACACGGGAAATTGTGTAGAAGAGTTTAGGTTGTAGTTGTATCAGGGATTCACGTTTTTGATTACCCCATTGAGGTTTTAAAATTCCCCCAAATAGACCAAAAAACCACGCCATTAGTATATTCAGTTCACCAAATTCCACCTTCAGCAAAACAAGAAACATGAACCACAACACAAACAAATGGCTGCAATGGCATAGACATAAATCAATTGAGAAATTCAGAGGCTTACCACATTCACTACAGAGGACTGAAACTGTATTTGGTCATGAGACCCTTGACAAGATGCAGTCATCCCCGAAACATCACAATTAGTATGGCTGTCAACTGCATGCACAGATCAGCATCAACAAGTGCTCAGATAAATACTACATGTATTCATAAGATTCCTATTACTATAATTGAAACCAGAAAACTATAATCAACAATTTCATCTCCAGCATCAGTGCAGTAGCATCTCTAAGGAAAATACGCCTGTCCTTGAGCAAAATTTGCTAAAAACTTGTCAAGGAAAAACAAGAATTAAGTAATTATCTCTTCCAATCAAACAGTGCACCCAGAGAAGATTATCACCTTTTGGACTGGAAGCAACCCTAAACCTGACAATGGATTCAGGATAGATGTGGGAGTTCATGTTCATTCTCCATACAACGTAATATGTTGGTTTTGTAAGGTCGTCAACTCCACTGTCAAAATCCTTGCTACTTGGATGAAATTGTCTGCTTCCAGGATGAAGAAGTTCCATGTTTCCCATTATTACACGGCAAAATACCAGATGCTGCACTCCGTCATCATCAATATCACAATGATTTGCACTGTAAATAAATAAAAGATCAAATCTTCCGAACCAATCACATGAATGACAAAAAGAATGATCATCATGAGAAAAACCTGTTGACATAGATTCACTATGTGAAATTATTATGGATATGGCCAGATGAACAATAAGTAAAACATGTAGCATGGAAAGTGGAAGTATGATAAGAATTAACATCTATAAGGTAACATGCCGGGACGGCGAGAACAAGAATAAGGATCAAAACATCAAAAGCCTTTCTAAGGCCAGGTATTCCCCTTTAAGAAACATCAGTTTGCAAACGGTTATACAAGTTGAAAAACAGAGCCAATGGATGGTGTGTTTCAAATATGACAAAGAACAGACAAGGAAATGTATAAGGTATTATCAGTGCCCCTAAGTTCTAGAAAGACAAAAATGAACAAAAGACAAAGAAGCATGGTATCACATTATTTTCTAAAAGTCCTTGACATTAAACCAACAAAAGACACATTTATTAAAATATACACATTTGACATTTTTATATGGAAAGAAAATTTTAAGTCAATAATCTCATGCATTCATATGCTTAAAAAAGCTTGATGTATTTCACTATAAAATTTTATTGTTTTTTCCTATATTACTATTTATGCCTATTTATTATGCTTAACAAGTGATGGACTCGTATACAATTTGTACAATTAATGTCTTACATGTCGTAATTGTAATAACAAGTATTTGGCACATATCGAACAGGACACATACACATTACCCAAACTAAAGTGTTAATGCTTCATAGACATTTGGTAATACTTCCAAAATCAGAAAATGGTTCTCTGAGAGGACTGATAAGCCCAGACAATAAGGCATCAGCCCAGCTCAAGTAGAAGTCACTATTAACAACTTGAAGAATAGGTCAACATGTAACTTCCTTCCAAGATTGTCTTATTTTGGATTACAACCCATCTATACAAACCTCCCAAGTTCAAACATATAAGTGAAGGGACTGGAGCCTTGGTAAAAGAATTACAAACGTTGCTTTTAGATGTTGATGAAAACTTAAGCAAATGAATAAAATATGTGGTTGCAGCTATGAGCTAACAAATATAAAAAATCCAAGACGTTTATTTATAGGAAACAAAGAACCATTTCTTTAACAATGATGTGTAAATCCAAAAAGAAGTCATAAAGTTACATTAAAAAATAATAATAATAATTTTATTAAAAAGTCCTCCGATGGGCACGGAGAAAAGAGCATAAGATTTTGATAGCTGGGTTTCCAATTAGTTCATCTTGAGGAGTATCAATTTCATGTCCGAACCTACAATAAGCTGGAGAGACAAAGAGCTAATTGGTTTTTGCCAAATAATAAAAATAGTTGGACCTAATAATTACGTAAAAACCTTCCAACGACCTGCATGCATCTAACTTCAAGTGTGCTTGACCTTAATATTTTGCACCAAATGAACAACATTTCATCATCTAAACTCAGAGGACAAGCTTCCTATTAGGTTGGGGGCAAATTTAAGCAGATGTAGTATTGTTTACAATTAGGAGTCAAAGTAGAGTTGTTATATTCTGTTAGAGGATGTGTAGTTAGTTATACTAACTGTCAGCTGCCAATGATTCAACTATAACCAACTCATTCTGTACGAGTTTAAAATCATATAAAAGAATTATTGTTCTAAAAAATCTACCCACCTGACATTCGAGAAATTGACAGCTGTGAGGTGAACACCGGTTCCATATATGGATTTGATTGAGGAAATTCCACCATTCCCGATGCCATAGCCATACATCAAGCTAGATAATTCTATTTTAGAAACAGGAAGCCAAGCAAAACGAACATTGGCATCCCCTCTGTACAATTTGGTCATTTCTATTTGCTTATTGAAAAGCTCTAATTGAGATTGCATTGCAGTATCATTACAGTGCTTTATATCAAGTATCTCTACATTACCATCAGAGCTCATTCCATTAAGAAATATTTTCTCCACGGTCCCTGTATCCAATTCTCCATCCACAAATTGAATCCCAGAGATGAGGTTTGCATCCAACTGTTGAAACTTTGGAACAATCTCATATGCTTGTCCAATAGGTATCGGTATCCTACCACAACTATCCTCAACTTCTTCCATATCACGACCATAAGCAGGTTTTTCATCTGTTTGGGATTGATTGATGTAATCATTCGACCCCCCACTACACACCTTCAAACTCGACTGGTCAACTCCACTTATTTCAATTTCTACCTGCAACTTGATTACATCAGATCCATGAGCTTCTTCAACTTGTGGTACTTTATTTCCTATATTATTAGAATGACAGCATTCACTGTTGTCTGCAGCATAAATCTCAGGAAAGAAGCAGCTCCCTGCTGCGTCAATCCATGCAAGAGGTTGCTGCAACCCTGTATCCAAGTCCAAGAATAACATATGCAAAAAGTCTAGCACACAGTGCTGTCCATTAAACTCAATTTCTAAAGATGCTTTCTTTACCTGCAGATCTTCCACAACCAAATCAAGAAGACCACGGGGAAAATTAATCCACTCACCATTATCATAGAACATTATGTGTTTTGGTATCCCACTTTTCATGAAATTTGAATAACCTCTGTACAAGGAACTAAAACGAGTTTCAGAGTTTGCAAACATGCTACTGCATCCCCCTAGTTTCCGTCTCTTTCCCACCATATTTAATGGAGTCACAGTAGACCACTGGCGCGACATGCAGACAGGTTCCATTGAATGTGCAGCTCGCTTCCTTTTTAAGGCAAGTGCAACTCTCTGGCTACCCAATACCTTCGCGATCTTGTCTTCCATTTCTGCTAGCTAGACTAATATCTAAATCCAACTTCAAATCAAAAAACGTGTCATAAATCCGAAGCACACCCTATACATTAACCGGACTTGTGAAGAAAGCCATGTGAGGAACTTAGAAAACCCTGGAAAGTGAAAAATGTGGCTATTAAATGAGGAAACGTTAAACAATCATAAACATTAGACTAAATCATGTGGACAAAAGTCGGTGAAAAATTAAGAATAAGAGGTGAAATACTACTTTATTTCTCCATTTTGGGTTGTGTGAGGACTTTAGCTAAAACTTAAAGCTTAGATTAGTTGCTCAATTTCCCTAGTTTACTCCGTGTTTATGGTGTGTGTGTGCACGAGAACTGTATCTCGGAGTATCGAAACATAACAGGAACTGACAAGAAGCAACCTGGCACACTAGAAAGCAATATAGAGGAAAAGGTCAACAAAAATAAAGCTATAAAGTTAGAAGCCGTTGCAATTCCAAGTTACAACCTCACAGGTCGGTATCAAACAACAAATACTAGTTTCCCAATCCATACGTTCATCTTCGAAGAAACAAATTTTCCAACTATACAATTGTAGATACCTTCAAGCAATTAAAAAATAACAACATATTAATTGACTAGAAACTTCTACATATTTAGTACTCTGAGCGAAAAAGGCTGCCACTTATTTTAAAACGAGACTTCTTTCACACGTATGATCCTCCAATCAATATTAATATGCTTTTCTTCCATAAAATCCTTGAAACATAACTTTTACGATGTGCATCCAAACAGGCCATATGTAGAACATAAATACAAGAAGAACCATGAATATTTGAAAACACCAAGACGACCACGCCACTCAGATGGGGGCTCTCAAAGGTGATTACTTTAATACCAGAAATATAATAAAAACGCATATTAAGAAATATTAAAGATTTTTAGAAACAGATCCCTATGACCAAGAAATTTCCATAACTGCAAGAAGCATCATAACTAAAACTTGTAGAGAAATATACGTATGAGTTTTAAAAAATAATGAAAAAAAATAAATCTATAGATTAGTCATGGATGAAGTCTAAACATGCTAATCAACACCGAATCTTCAACAATAAGGTATTATCAGAGTCGCCTTCCATCAAGGATGTCGTGGCTAGTTCAGAGTAATTGATTACTGACACTGTAATATCCAAATTCAACAGGAGTGAACTTTAGGTTCACTATTTGTCTTCTTCTTTAAGCAGAAAACAATAATTACTTCCTAGAGTTTTCAGATTCTGGCATTGGCCAAAATCGGCTGTGTAGGATATGCTTACTCCATTCTGTTCAGTGAAAATAAACAAAAACAAAATTAAGATATTGAGGAGGAAGAAATGAATTTTTGTTTGTTACTTCAAAAGTGATTGACTTGAGACTAAAACCGGGTGCCACTCAAAGTCTGATTGTTGATCGATTAATCAAAAAGTAGGAAAATAAAAATAAACAAAATCAGTATAACACGCGCAGAGCTTCAAAAATTGATCCTGCCCAATTTTTAAAGTTGACAGTCAAACATTCCTTCCCCTCCAAGAGAAATGTCATCCCATCCCCTTATACCGATACTAAAACCTTCTAATGTGCCAATAATCCAATAATTAATGAAAATTGCTCCACCTAAGTTTGAATACCATCACCAATCATTCAACTCAAACTGAATGAAAATTCGCAAATAATAACCTAAAATTAATATGAAAAATTAACGACACCGAACAGATCAGAATCGCCCGACGGTTTTCATCGGCTTTAACTACAAAATTCATACTCAGAAATCTAATCTAACAATCTAAACGCTGTCATAAACAGAAGGATTAAAACCTGAAAACACAGCCAAATCAACTATCGAAACTTTAGACAAATTTCCAGAAACAAACAAAATAGGGCATAAATCTTACCGTTAAACTTCACAAAGTAACAAAAAAATACATAACATATGCTGGGTTTCAATTTGCAGTAGAAAATATCAGGAAACGAAGCACAGGCGAGGAGAAAGAGGAGGAGGAGGAAGAAAAAAAAAATGAAAAAGAAAAATAAAAATAAAAATTGAAAATAAAAAACTAAGGGAGAATGGTAAAAGAAAAGAGATATATATATATATATATATATATATGGGTGTACTAAACGACGCCGTATAAGAGCCCCCAACGACTTAAGTCGGCGATGTCCTTTTATTTTTCCTTTTTTTGCAAGGAACAGGAAAAAAACATGTATGAAGTCAAATTTAACCTTAAATTTTAATTAATTTCATTAAAGTTGACCTTTAAACCTGAATTAGTGAATAAGTGCCTTATTGTTTAGTTTCATTTCCACTAAAATTTATGGCCATTTATAGATACTTTTGTGGTTGGATATGTTTCGAAATCTTCCAATTTTCGTCTTGTGAAAAAAAAATTATTAAAATTTGTTAATGTAACAGTTTATATATTATTAAATTATTATTTTATTTACTTACCCACTTTAAATTATATATTTTTTACGAGCATGTAAAATTTCGCTCGCGGTGGATTGAGTTTTACATGTCAACTTGTTTGCATCTACGTGTCAACATATCTTAATAGAACAATAATTTAAGAAATTTTTTAATACGATTTTTTCAAATAGAACAGTAATTTAATAAATTTTTAAATACATAGTCCTTGAACAATTTTTATCATTATGCCGACATAAATTTAGTTCAATGGTCAATACATTATGTTTTTTTATTTAGTTATCGGAAGTTTCAATACATCATATCCACATTTGTTATAAAATATATGTACGCGCGTGCAATTTAACCGCTAAAATATACTTGTTTGAGCAAATATAAAATAATTAGGAGTAACGAATAAAAGTAATATGTAAACATTATTACATAAATTATTAATTGGATGTAAAATTTGTAGTTATTACACTTTATGACATATGATATTTGTTGGTGTAAGATTTTAGATGAGATGACACGTCGACTTCATATTCGAGATAGATGCATGGTTAGTCGAGTTAGCATCACTGTACATAAAAGTTTGTATCATGTTGCTCTATCTTTATAAAAGTAAAAAAAACATGGCACTTTATCTCATTAATTGTGACTTATGTTACAACTTAGATTGATATGATGTCATTTTGGAAAGCGTCGTCGTGCAACCCAAAATCTACCTGAATAATAATAATTAATTATTAATTAGATTTCAAAACTTCATAATATAAGCTCTTGTAGTAAGTTATCATTGAAGTAATGCCCATTGCCATTAAATTCAAAAACATAATTTAAAATCACGAACTTGAAAATTCAACTCGGTAAAACATATATATGAGATATTATAAATTTGAATTTCCATTTATATGATATAGAAAAAAAAAGTGACAATACAACCATAAGGTTAGAAGATCGACGAACAAAAAGTAAACATCGAAGAAAAGAATAATAATAATAATAATAATAAAATAAAAGGATCGGGCCGGGTCGCGTACGATCAGAGCAGACCCGAAAAAACGTTGCGTTATTGATTCTTGCCACTTCCTTGTAGCTACAAACACTAGACAGGTTGTGGCAAGCTGAGGCGGGAACACTTTTCCTTCAGATTCTTCGCAATTGCATCACTCTCAGAATTAAATCGAGAGGACGGCTCCAGACAAAATGCTTTTGGATGATTCAGCTCTTGTGACAGCCATGGAAGAAGCCATGTTGAAGTACAAGGTTCTCTCTCCCCATCTGTTGTTGCTCTTTTCGCAGATTCTAAAAAGTGCTGTTATGATTCTTCAGTTTCAGTTTGTGGAAATTATTATTTTTTATTTTGTTCTTATTGGTTTGATCAATTGTTGGCGTTTTTCCAGATAATGCATGGACATGAAATCTTCCAGATTTCAGTCGAGGGAGGAGAAGCGTTTAACGGTGGCGGTGAGAGTGACGAGCCAAAAAGGTCCGTAGTTAGTTGGCCATAGCGCTTCTATTGTTTTTTTAGGTGTCGTGTATTTTATCTCTGGTTATTGAAATGTTCTCGTGATTATTTAGGATTCGTGAAGTTTTCTGGTAATGGTAACTGGTAATTTTCTTATATTGTTTGAAATGAAGACGGAGTGGATAATCGTTGTTGTTATTATTATTTTTCGCATATTCCGAAGCTATTTTGATCATGTTTTTGAGTGTTTGGATTGATTGGCTTTGGCCTTTTGCACATTGGTTACATGTTTGTGAAAACTTTGATTTATGGAGTGGCTGAAAATTATGGAGTCTTTAAGGGTGGTCGGTGGAGCATTTGACGAAGGGCATATTCAAGGTGAAAGACCTCATCAGCTACTAGAGTCAAGCTGGTCGTTGGAAATGGGAAGAACAATATATATTTTGGGAGGACACACGGAAAGGTGATGAAGCTTTATTTTCTAAGTTTCCAAGATCTACGTTGTGGCAGTTAGCAAAAGCCTTCCTATTAATCGTATTTGGAAAGCTGATTCTGTCTCTTGGAACTTTATTTTCTAGAAGAAACCTGAATAATCGAGAAACCGAAGACTGGATTTCTCTCGCGGACCTTATGAACAACACTTTACTTAGATTAGACCAGGATAAGTGGATGTGGATCTGGCATGAGAATGCAATAGTTTTAGCAGCAAACCTCTCCTAAAAGACATTTCAAAAGACTCTGAAGTCCTCGACTATAATCTTTACAAGTGGGTTTCAAAGGGTTTTTGCCTAGAAAAGGTGAAAATTTTAATTTGAGAATCTTCATTCCCTCCATTGGCCACTGGGAAGCCATTCCCAAATTCTTCGTAGGGAGTCGACTCCATCACATCCTCTCCTCATTCTTACCTTATTTTATCAAGGATTCTTGCAAGGATAAAGATGGGTATGCCTCCCTAATCCTACCTGTTTCTTTTACACTGTGACATTCTAAGTTCTATTGATTGATCAAAGAAAGTACTCCAAGAAAAACTGGATTCACTTGGGCTAAATTTTTGTGACTTCTTTCAATATAGGTTATTACAAAATTGGTACCTGTGGTTTGAACTTTGAACGTAGTTTCAATTTGGTCACTGTAAATCTCCATGATTTTATTAGTTTCAATTTAGTCCCTATAGTTCAGTGAGTCATACCTCACAAATCTTCTCCATCGTTACCATATTGAATATGTGAAATGTTCTTTTCTGAAATAAAATATTCATTGATTAAAGTACTGATGCCACATGAGCTACATTGGGCAAGTCCCCTTCATGTACTGTAGGATATTTTGTCCTACTTTTCTTGTAATTTCTCTTCAATAATTTCCATTATGGTAAATACACAAAAACTAACATATAGTTAGTCCTGAGTGTCTTCTTTGAAGTTATTCTGCTTTATATCTTATAATTTTCTCTTAAATTTTTTTATCCCAAAGAACAGGGGTGGAGATGAAAAGAGCAATATTGAAGCAAATAATGTTAACTTTGAAGTCGATGAGATTACAAATACCTCACCAAATAATGAAAATATCAGCGTAGAGCCATGTCCTATATCTTGTGCGGATTTTTCTGATGCTCTACATGTGAAAGAGACGCAACAGGGTCCCATTGAGGACTCCAATTTAAATCTAAAAGGTGCAGAGGGCTATAACAAGCTACTTGAGCAGTATTATGAGCTTGAGGAGAAGAGGCAGAAGGTTCTAGACCAGCTTTATCATGGTGGTTGGAATTATGACGATGTCAGTGCAGGATCTAGCGTCGGAACTCAATGGGGAACATCTTCTGCTTATCAAGAACACCCAGTCCCTGCAAGCCAAACTTCTCATAACCATGCAATTTCCACCTGTTGGCCCTCCAGTTATCCAATTCCAGTTGGTATGCGACCTCTATTCTCCATTTGTTTCTTGTTCGAAATGCTTGTTGGTAACACTGTTACCCATTATTCACTCAGTGGCTACTTGCTACAGGTCCTCAAAGTTCGTCCCTTGCTGATGGTGACATTATCAAAACTGCAATGGATGCTGCAGCAAGAGCTATATCCTCCATGACAACAAAAATTCCAGGTGATTTTGATGTAAATAAAGGTAGGCTTTATTTTGTACCAGTAACAAAACTTTTCATTGACTAAGTGAGAATTACAAGAGGAAGGAATCTCCCATTCCCAACGAGCTTCCAGAAAACTGTTGTGGGAGGAATTAATTATAAAAGAAGGATAGTTACAAAAGTTCTTAGACAAAGTACAATAAATTGATGCTTTAAATTAGCTAGAGCAGAAATTTCATCATAAGATTTACTTTTATCCAAAAATTCTTATTGTTACCTTTTAACCATAGCTCCCAGGGTAAAGCTTGTAGGCATCTTATGCAATACCCACGGAAATTTATTGTTTTTATTTTTTATTTTTTTATTTTTTATTTATAATTTTAATTGTATTATTGTGGAACATCCAAATTTGATGCTTATTTAGAGAAGGTTTAAATGATTTTCTAATCATAAATTTTGCCAGTAGAGTCTACTTGTTTAATCTTATTATTTGACTTTGACGAGATATTTATTGCTCGTATGTTGTAACTTATTATCTTCTTTCCCTTTTTCTTTTTTAAAGAAACATGACGATCATTAAACATAAATGAATGACAGGCACCAGAATCTGTCAAAGGGGACATAAAAAGACCCCAAAATAGCCTAAAAGAAACAATACAAAGCAAAACAAAGCTAAATAAAAGAAGTAGAATAATTAGCCACTCTTCTAAACATGTACAATAAAAGAAGATGATAGGATGTAGCTTGAGAAATAATTATTTTGTATTTTCTATATATATTTCCTTTGTGCACAAGTGCAAGACTTTTGTCATGGCGACTCTGGAATAACAATGCACGTTAGGTATCTTCCCATTTGGTTTGACAAGTTAATTTCTAAAGCAATCAAGATGTTTTATCATTGTTATAAAATAGTTTGAATTATTATCGAATCCTTCAGCATATATTACTGATTTTCTCCTCATAGAACTAAACTTAATGTCTTGCTATTTAATCTGTTTAGTCATGTGCCCTGTTACAGATAAACTCTGAAGTCCCCTTAAGTATAGTTCATGGGATTTTTCTTAGTGTCATATTGGCATTATGATGACGTGTTGAGCATTAATCAGACCGCTTGATGCATGCTAAGAAGTTGGACAATGTATATTGCCACAAACCACCATCTTTTTACTAGCTTCAATAGGGCCATCTTGAATATTTCTTTTAAGAGCTTTAGATAAGATTATATGGACTTCAAGTTTAATGGCTCAGTTGTATAGGTTTTCGTAAGTAGTGGTGACAGAAAACATATTATTGAACTTCCCATTATGTTTTCCTTTATTGGTGTTGTATTTTGCGTTTTCATCATCATATCCTTTACCTATTCTATGGGGTTTATGGAATGAGAAATACGACAGGGTCTTTAGAGGGTTGAAAGATCTTAGGAGGAGGTTTGAGCCCTTGCTCGGTTCACATTTCCTTTTGGCCATTAGCGTCCAAAGATTTTTATAATTACTCATTGGGTTTGATCTTGCTGGATTGGAGTCGTTCTTTTAGTTGGGCTATCTTTTTGTGTGCCCTTTTATATTCTTTCATTTGTCTCAAAAAAATCTCGGCTTTTCATTAAAAAACAAAAATCTTATCCTTTTTAACCCGTCTCTCTGCCTCATCCATACGGCATTGCTTCTCATGCCATGATACTAAAAGCTATAGGCTTGGGCTTTAATTGCATGCTTTGGTACCTTATGACAATTTCTTTTTTGGATCTGTTGACATAGAGAAAGTGAGTGAAAGACGTGATGGAATAATGCCTCAAAGTGCTAGCTCTGAAACAGACCTTGCTGCCGTTTTCAATGCTTGGTATTCTGCAGGCTTCTACACTGGCAAGTAAAGTTTTGCAGCTTTTGCTCAGTCTCCTTTATTTGTAGAAACTTAAGACTTGCATGCTATAATATATTCTTTTCATCCACAATGTTCCAAATTTCATAATATCCATGTTTTCTTTTTATACTGATTTGTTCGTGATTCGCGGGCGGATTTATACATCTCAACTTCATAAAACCGTGAAATTCTAGGGAGGACAGTGATGCAAACACCCTTTCTATTATTGATATTCATAAGGCATTATAAGAGGCCAAGAGAAAATTAGAAAGCTTCGGAAGCTCTCCTAGTCCTAGACATAATAGCCAAAAAGATACCCCATAGCTCACCACCTTAGGGTGAATGTACCCAAAATACCCACACTGCCCTTTTATACTCGTACAGTGGTCCCTCTTTTCTAATGGTTTTTCCCTTTCCTATATCGTACTAGTACGTCCCCTATCCCTAGAGTATACGGTCTTCACCCGAGACCTATCAGATAAGCCTTATGTCATATTAATATCTGAATATGGTTGCATCCTTGATTAGGAACATGATAGGTGGGATCCTTAAACCTTGGGTGAGACCTTTTGTAGAAGTAATTGATCGGTCAGTGAAATCTGAAAGAGAAGTTTGCTGGAGGGAAGGAAAATTAGTGGATTTTGACATTTTTAAGACAAAACAGAAAAGTATATTCCAGTTAAACTGTTGTCTGAATACCAGCAGACTTCTAATAATCTTCTCAATTGTTGCTGCCTGCTGCCTGGGAACTAGTATACGAAAAAGAGAAGAAGTATGATCGGATTTTTGACGATAGGTTCCGGTCACTGATCTCGACTGAAATTTAGAACATGGTGCACTTGAATTCTTTGCTTTAGATTTCCATCAGCCAAAGGTTCAGAGCATTCCTCAAGCCTTAATATGTTGTGTTGCACTTGCAAGTCTTTTGAGTGTTTGTTTGTTCTATGAGATTCTGGTAGCAATCAACTCCAATTAATGTCTTTAATTTTCTCATAAACTGGATCTGTTTTGCAGATACCTTGTGGAGCAATCTTATGCCAAGAAATAGCAAAAGCAAATCTTATGCCAAGAGAAATCAAAACCAAGCTTTCACATGCCTAGCTCATGTTACTAAAATTTCCCCCTTTCTTCACACCCCATGGCATTTGTTATGCTACAACTCTAAAATATTTTTCATTGAACTTTGCTTGTACAGTGGGAAGCCAGCTTTGATCCAAATGAATTTTAACTTTGCAGTATTTTTTTTTTCTTTTTCATATTGGGTTTAATTTTTGAAATTCTATTCATCCGCCCATGATCGCAATCGCGTGCCAGAGCAGAGTTCTACCAACTGAACTATTTCTTTTTGAGCACAGTGGAGCTAGCATGAAGTTAGATGTTTTTTCTATTCTTTCATTCTTTTTCTTGACCTTGCTAGGTCTAGGCTTCGAGTTTCAAAATGAGACGAGAAGATTCATGCGGAGCCAAAAAGGAGGCTTTGAATTGGATATTACTCCTTATTTGTCTAATATTCAAATAATTGCGTAGAAAAACACAGATGCAAAGTTTTTCTTTAATTTGTCATCTCTAAGTTTTAGACAAATAAAATTATATATATAGAAAGCTAGAAGATGATTTTGCCAACCAATAAAATTCACTGTTTGCTCTTGAGTTTTAAATGAACAACGCTGTGTTGGAGGTTTGGGATGTATTGTTCCAAGCTGGAATGGAGAAGTGATTCTCGCAGCTTACTGCAAAATGCAAGCAAACAGATTGGTGAGAACACTTGAATTAATGACGATTTTCAAAGGTCTTCTATCAATTAACATAAACACATGATGGCCTTTATACTTGGAGTCTAATTCTTTGGAAGCAATTCCGCTAATCATGAAGGAAGATACTGATATAACTGAGATTTGTTGCGGGGAAGGAACAGTGCTGCCCATATCTTGGCGAAAATGGCCATGGAAATCGAGAGTAAGGATGGCAATAGGGTGGGGTTGAGGGTCATCCACATTCCTGCCCTGTTGGGGATTTTTTCCACAGGAGTTAAAATTAAAGAAAAAAGTGGCAAAATCGGTATTGGGCTTGGGTTTATAAAAATAAAATAAAAAGTATTTATTAAAAATAATATATATTAATATTATTAGATATAAAAAATATAAATTTTAATAAAATATTAAATGGAGGGACAAGGCGAGGAGACTAGGGATTCCTCGACTTGATCGGAACTCAGGAATCTTGAATTAACCGAGAATGGGGACAGGGACGGGGCGGGGATCTCATCCCGCCCTTGTTGAAGACCTCGTTTAGGATCTCTAATTTGATATAATTCCCGGTCAAATCAGAGATTCCAAATTTTCCGACTTGATCGGGTCGGGTACCCGTGGGACCGAGTCCCATGGATTTTTTTGCCATCCTAATAGGGAGTGAAAGGAGTGGTTTGACACTTTCCCAAACCTGCTCTCTGATGTTATAGACAATGTACCTTTGGTTAGTTTATTTCGTTCATTCCTCAAAAGAGAGAGAGAGAGAGAAAACCAATAGTGAACTGGCAGGTTTGGTTCAGGCCTGATTATTGGTTCGGTTGTTATCGGCTTAGCTCGATTCTCGATTTAGGCCGAAAAGGAAAAAAAACCAAGAAAACATTTCCCTAGAATTTCCAAGCGAGGATTTTAGAGCGAAGTCTTCGTTCGTTCGTTCGTTCGTTCATTGAGAGCACGGAAGCAAGGGAGAACTGGTACTCCACTGTTGCCATGGCGAGATCCACAAGCAAGGACGCTCAAGCTCTTTTCCAATCGCTACGCTCGGCTTATGCCGCCACTCCGACGTCTCTCAAGGTTTCTATACCTTTTACTCTCACTCTAAACTTGTCGTCTCTTTTCTTGCTGATGGAATTGTGACCTAGATCGCCTTCTTCGCAGATTATTGATCTCTATGTGATTTATGCTGTATTTACGGCTCTGATCCAGGTACTGGCTTTTAGATCCTTCTGTCTGACTTCATTTGATTGATTGTTGTTATGATTTTGTGTTATTGGTTCTTCTTAGATCTCCGTCGCTTTGTCTTGTACCGGATTTGCATCGAATTTTCCTTTTCCGCATCTGAATTCGTCAATGTGTCACGATTCTCTGCTTATTGCGTTTGATCTCTGTCTGATTGCAGACTTGCATGTAACGGAAAGGAAATAAGAAATCGACGTTTCTCCTGTTTTTTCATTTTGATGTATAGTTCCATTCTTCTGAAAATTATATGATGATGCCTGTTATTTTATCAGACCTTATGTTGGTTTGTGAGTCTCCCCGTAATTTGATCATCCTTTGTGCGTCATTGTTTTTTATGAGTAATTTTTTAGTAAGAAACGACCGTCATTAAGTATGGAAGAATACAAAATGACGGTAGAAGGAGTGCCCTCTCTAGCTTAGCCGGGTTGCAGAAATTTCCCAGGTAGCTCAAACAATGGTAAGTTAATAATTACAAAATTCTCTGAGTTGCACCAAAAAGTCCTCTCTTCGCTCCTCCCCAACCCTGGGGTCTCTTTCATTTGAAAAAGTTGCAATTGGATGTTTGTTCATGGTAAAAAATTAATTAACTCACCGTGTTCTGAAAGTTTCCCCAGTTCCATGGCACTGTTAGATCTCAATTGAATACTTGAGCTTTGTTTCAGTTATGTCTAATAAGTCCAGCAAGAAAAAGTGCATTCTATGGAGAGGTTTCATTAATTTAGGCTGTGTTTTTGAATAACTCAACGTACTCAATTATTTGCATTTGATATTTGTTTTATAATCACGGTGTCTGAATCATTGGCATTAACAATCAAAAACTTAGTTTAGTTTTCATAGGTTTAAGATGATCATTTGGGATTTTCTGAGCTTTTTTTCCTCTCTCTTTGGTAAGTGTAGAGAAGCTTTGTGATGCTTAAGCATGAAGTGCAAAGAAAATAGTTACAGTATTACTATTGTCTCATGTGGAAGGATATAGTACTACGAAAGATCAAGGGAATGGTGGCCTTTTTAATGATTTTTTAAAGATATAGGTTTTTATGCAGTATGTTTGTTTCTTAAAAATATGAATGAAATAAAATTTTAAGAAGCTTGAGCTGCCTAAAATATAATAAAAAGTTTTAAATCCTCGGCTCCAAGTTCTTTTTGAAATTTGTTAGGAATTACTTTTAACTGATAAGTACTCATAAACAGGTAGCATACATGGCGATTGTTGGATCATTCCCATTCAACTCCTTCCTCTCAGGCGTACTTTCTTGTATTGGGACCGCTGTCCTTGCTGGTAAGCAGAATGTATATCATAGTTATCAAAGGATAATAGTGCTAAACAGAAGAACTGTTCTTATGCTGATTGAATTCTTATTTTGCAGTTTGTCTTCGGATTCAAGTTAATAAAGAAAACAAGGAATTCAAGGTAATACCTTCATGTTCTTATACCTTAGTATGCTTTTTAACCTTTGCCTCTGACTAAATGAAAGAAAAGGAAGTGTTATATTATATCTGGAAATGATTGGTTGATCCATTTCTTTTGTGCCATTTTTCGCTGTTAAATGGTGGAAAGCAAATTGTCTGATCATGCATTACAGTTTATAGGAAAACTTCTTTTCTTAAAATCCAAAATTGGTAACATTTCATTTTGGAGTGGTAAACAATTATTCCTCAAATTTGCAGGATTTGGCCCCGGAGCGAGCTTTTGCAGACTTTGTTCTGTGCAACCTGGTTCTCCATTTGGTGATTATCAACTTCCTCGGATAAGACACCTATATTTGGTTCTGCTTCTTTTCTTGTTTCCTTCGGAGAATTATTTAAACCCAGGAAGTAGCTTATGCTAGAAATTTTCTGCCAATCTTAGAAGATTAGAGAGAGAGAGAAAAAAGGAACGCCTGCAACTGAACTGAGTGTCATTCTGAGTTATTTTTCTACAGGTGAGAACTTTGTTTATATATTTTCTTTCATTTAAACAGGGAAGATAGCAAATGAGGACTTTATTTCCCATTTTCCCCATTTTCCTAGGACTTTATTTTTCAGTAATGGTGTTTAAATTCTGAAAACAAGTTTTTACAACTCCTTCACAATCACTTGAAGATAAAATTTGCAATATAGTCTTATTATTATTATTATTATTATTATTATTATTATGAGTTCAACATGGGAATTTAAATTTTTTACTCTTATCCAGTCTATCTAGTTTTTATTTTGATAGTACAACAAATATGGGGTGTGAGACTTTGAATCTCTAACCTCGAGGGAATGAGTTATATGTCTTACTTTTCATGTTGTCCTATATATTTTTATGTATTAGATCACTGTATGAAGAAAAAGAAAAAGAAAAAAAGATTTATAAGACAACGTATTATTATAAGGCAACATTATCTTTGCAGAAAAACAAGTTTTTGCAACTCTTTTACAATCACTTGAAGATAAACTTACAAGTTAAGTTCTGCATGCACAATATGTTATTATTTTGAGGTCAATAGATGGTATCCTTACTCTAACCAGTTGAATATAGTTCACATGTTGGCCTATATAATTTTTCTTTTTTTCTTGTTAGTACAACAAATATGGAGTGTGGAAATCTGTACTTTTTCGACCTAGAGAGATTGAGCTGTCTTTACTAAGTTAAATTTTTAAGTATTAGATTTTTGCAGGGAAAAAAAATTATATGCTGGATATTCCTGTAAAAAGAAAAAACAACTGAGTTTTTTTTTAATAATAAAATGAACACAAGCAGATAGAGAGTGCATAATTTGCTATAGAAACAAGGGAAATAAAGTTTAATGGGCTAATTTTTAGATCAGCTTGTTGGGCTTTGCTAGTTGGAGCCCAACGGGTGATGCTGGACTAATCAAATAAAGGCCCACGATCAGCCCTTCAAGGGCTCTCAGCCATATTATTCCCACAGGAATTTAATTTTCTAACAATCTTACTTATCCTAAAGGCTTCTGAAATTAGTAATTAAAGAATTATATTGAGGTACTTTCAAACCTACCATCGTAAAAAAATTTGACAGCCAAAGAGATATCAATGCATATAGGAAGAGAGGTAAATAGCCAAGAGATACATCGACATATATAATTAGATTTTTATCAAGTTTTTTGAAATGTTTAAATACTTCTTGCATGCTACTAAATTCAACCCAATAACTTTTTAGTTGGTCTACAAAATTCCTTTAACCCGATCAAACTCGACTCATGCACACCCCTACTCTCTACTGCCTATAATTGTCCCCTTGAAAATATAGATTGGTTGTTCCCATCGAGATCAGAAATTTTGCTTTATGCTAGTTTATTACAACACCAAAAAAATTATCATAAATAAATAAATAAATTATAATCTGTAGAGCTTCTTTTCATTGCCAGAAAATTGTCAGACTTACCCTACTACAGTACTGATTTCGTATGAAGTGACACGTGTCAATTTTCTATTGGTTACTAATTTATAGAGAGAGAGACCAGAATCTTCACAGCCACTGTTCCATCCATCACCTCTCTCTCTCTCTCTCTCTTCCTTTTGAAATTTGTTCAGTGAACAAAGATCACACCACTTTCCCAAAACCTCATGCATTTAAAAAGAAAAATTAATTATTTTAAAATTTTGCTCGTGGACACCAAGAAAAGAAAAAAAAGTTTAGATTTTACGAGCAAAAGACAAGGGAGATGCGTTAAGATTAAACAATCAGAAACACATGCAAAAACGACGCCGTTCCCCATGTGGTTGGAGGACGGGGATCAGTCTCCTGTTTTTTTTTTATTAATTAATGTTACGTGCACGAGACCTTCGAATAATATCACATTCTCTAATCTCTCTTACCTATTTTCTTTTTCTTTTTTTTTTTTCAAAATTTTAAAAGGTCATCTATTTAATTTTTCAAATGGTGTCTATTCGATACTCGTACTCTTCTAAAGTTTTTTTTTTTTAATAAGTCTGTGAACCTCTGAAGTTGTCTACTCGATCTTTATTGTTTTAAACGTTTTCAAACATGTACGGTTTTTAAATTTTCAATGTTGTGTCTCCTAAACTATCGCACATTTTCTTCCCTTTCAAAGCTTTTGAGATACGATTATATGTGTGTTGGTGGTCAAAATCAGACTCAATATGTGTAAGCATGAACTCAGCTCAGAGTAACCGCGTTTCAGAAGAGATCAGTACCTGTTAATATGTTCCATACCGAATTGAGGTGAAGGGAAATATACCCCCGACCTGAGGAATCTGACTTAGGTCCGACCACCAATTTGGGGGCCTGACAGCCGTAACCGTCGGTCGTAACAACCGAACGACCTTGTCTCCCTCGCCTGCCTATAAAAGAGACCCTTCGCCCCATTGATCATGTACGTTATTTCCTCTGGTAACGACCTGAATAGTTCGAGCTTGCAACTAATTTGGGCGTCAGAGTGTTTGTTTTCGGTGCGGGTTCACTTATGAGCAGCTCGACAACTCATTCTCGTTAGCACGTGATCGACCTGTAAACTTGGTGGAGAACAGCATCAACAGTGTGCTTGGATTCCTATGAGTTAGTTTAATATTCATTACTGTTTAAAGATTACATATCAAATTAATTTCGAGTTAATGGAGATGTTTGTGCCAATAATAATTAACCTAAGACAAATTAGAATGTCTAGGAATTTTATTGAAACTTTACGAAATACAGGGGCAAAAAGACACCATTTTAAAAGTTAAAGCTAGCTAATTATTTGAAAATTTAAAATATAAGTATTAAATAGACAACACAATTTATAACTTAATAAATTTTAAAAAAATATATTAATTTTTCCTAAAAATTTATATATATACATTGGACCACCATATCTTAAATCTTAATGAGAAGCGTGCCGTGACTGGTTTCCTTTTAGCCAATGTTTTAAATTCTGTTAGTTTCCCGAGAAAAAATCAGCTGGCCCTTTTAGTTTTCCCGAGAAAATTTTCCCTTCTTACCGTATTTATTAGTTATGGTAACAGTGTAATAATCAGCTTATTTAATTCAACCATTACTTACTATTATAGGTTTAAAATATATATTCTCCATTAAAAAGTTTGAAGTTTAAATTTCTAATATTTTAGATTAATAATTGAGTATATGATGTGGTTGGCTCATTGAGAAAAAGTTTTGCTTTTTCCAATCAAATATAAAAATATTTTATTTTAGGTTAAAATACTATTTTGATTATTGTACTTTCAACTTTAATTCATTTTTATCTTTATACTTTTAATATATTCTTTTTGGTCCTTATACTTTCAACTTTGATTTATTTTAGTCCCTGTACTTTCAAAATGTTCATTTTGATCCCTATGCATTTTTAAATTAATCATTATAGTCCCTTAATGTTATTTTTAGTCTAATTTTTTCTATCATGATTTCAACACATGACATTACAATTAATATATTTCTTAAAATATGAACATTACTTTATACTAAAGAGTTTACCTTATATGTAAAATTTGTGCTATAATTTTGCATAGGTGGACTAAAATGATCAGTTTTTAAAAGTACTCGGACCAAAACAGACATTTTCAACGTAACAGAGACTAAAATGAATCAAAGTTAAAAGTATAGAGACAAAGATGAATATTTTCAAAGTATAGGGACTAAAATGAACCAAAGCTGAAAGTATAGAGATCAAAATGATATTTTAACATTTATTTTATTTCTATAGAGTCATTTATCGGTGTTACGTTCTATAATTCAAAATAAAATTTTCAATAATGCGTATATTGGAGTGATCTTGTAGGAGAAGAAAATGAAATTAATGCAAACGTCCTTGTATTCACCCTTCATCAACTTTCATCTATATGTGTTGTGTACTAGAATGTCCTTTGCCATTAGTGTTTTCATTCCAATCTTGGTATAATTTAAACTAAGGTAGGTAGGAAATTTGAATTTTTCTTAAGGGAAAATAAGATTTTTGGCGTTACCTCCTAATCACGAGATCAAAAGCTTTCTGTCTCTATTATTATAGTAGGTGTGTTAGCAAGAAAATGATGACTTGACATCATCCTAATCTTCTTTGGGATACCAGTAATAATCTAAACAAGGTTCCTGCCATGACAAGATAGCTACAACGTTAACATATTGTGATTTAATTCAGCACGTTAGGATGATTTGTCAAAGTCGTGTTTAAAGAAGGAAATAACTTTATAGACACCTAACATAGCTTATAAACTATATTGCTATTGGACCATAAGAATGTTCAAACTCGACCACAAATCTTATGGAAATGACAACTTAACTAACACAATACTAATTGCACCATTTATTCAAATTTAAAATCCAATTGAATGAAATTACATAATAAAAATGAAAAAATAAAAAATAAAATCATGTCTTCCCGTGGAAGATATACCTTATGAATTATGATAATGTAGGATTATTGTTGATGCTGAAATTCGGAAAGGTCCACATGTTACTCGGAACGAGGGTCGTCAGACAAATGAGTTTATAACAACGATTCTTGACATCAGTGCAGTGCCCCGCCTAATGTTCTCCAACGATCAAGTTAGCAATAAGAGAAAAAGATAGTAGAGAGTATTTTAGGAATTAAGTGACAGATTTTTCACTGACCATGTGATCGTGCTGGTTCTTCCCTTTTATAGGTGCTTATGGCCGACCAAGAAGGACGTTTTGTACATGGCATGGCAAGGTTCGTCACCGTGCAACATTTTGACAGGCGGTTAGAGGACATTCTTAAGGTGTGGTAGTCGTACCTGTTAAGGGATCCCACATCGAAAAGATAAGGTACCTAACAGGCTAACATGAGTTTATAATACACATGCGCTATTACTTTCATTACCAATTGGTTTTGAGATAGAACACATGAATATTAATATGGTATTAAAACCCAAAATGTTCAAACAAGCATCTAGTCCAAAAATAGGATCCGACTAGGATCGATGAACCGAAAGAGGCACGATCATGTTAAGAGTTCCTCGAACCTTGAGATTCAATTTTTTTTGTTAATTAGAATGAATTGATGACTCCATTTTTTAACTATATTTTCTTCTGTACATTTTCTTTTACTACATTCATTTCATGCACTATCTTTAAAAGAAATATTTAAATTAAAAAAGTTTTATAAAATAAATTCTAAATTTTGTGCCCCAAATTTATAAATATAACAATTGTTTAAATATTTAGCTCGTCCAAAAACAAAAAACAAAAAAGCCCTGCATTTCTTCCAAAGTTTTGGTCTAAAAAACAACCTCAAGACACTTTTATTAAAGGCACTTTGTCTTCTATGTAAAAAGATAATAATCTTTTCAACTCCAAAATAAAATAAAAAAAATTAAACCCCCAACTAAAAAATTATTAGGAAAAAAATCAAGAGCTTATTTAAAATTGTTCCTAAGTCACATTGTTCATGTAAAAAAAAAAAAGATTAAAAAATAACATGGAAAAATCCTAATAATTCTTGAGAAAAAAAAAAGTAAAATCCCCATTCAAAAAAGGAAGAAATAAAGAGAGTTGTTTGAGAATCATTTATCAAAGAATATACACCCTTTTTTTTTTTAAGAAATAATTTAATGTACACTAATTAAAGCCACTTTTTTTTTTATTTTGAAAGAAACAAGTCAAATTAATCAGCTTCCTTTAACCCTTTTTTTCTTTCTTTAAGATTTGCATAATAATGTCTTTTGAACCCTAATGATTCTTAAGTCAAAAAGAATTTGTCTCATTTGTCCCTTTGCTTTAATAAAGGTGTTTGGATTAAAGAACTTTGGTTTATTATTTATTTATTAACATTACTAATTGATTTTTGTTTTTATATACAACGGATTATTTATCCTATACTTTCACTTTTTTTTTATATTTTATCCATGTATTTTTAGAAGTCCAATTCATCTTTATACTTTAATTTTATTAATCCTATGGTACTATGAAAAGACCGCGGTCAATCCAGAATTTGTTTCTTGTTCTCAGTTAATCAAATCAATTCAATGAATATATGTTTGACATATTTGTTTCTTAAAATAGTTTTCGGATGGTATGGTACAAATAGTGGAAATTTTAAAAAATATTTTAGTGTTTTCAATTTTTAAATTTCAAACTTTAAAATGCAGAATCACAATAAAAATAAATTAAAAACATTGATAAATATATTCTTTCATGTTATAAATTCACTTGTTTTTTTAAAATTAAAACAGGTAAAATACTATATATTATAAATTATACAATATTGTAAAATAATAATTTTACAAAAAATTTAATAAATAAATAAATATTATTTTAGATTTAACTAAATATTTAATGATGCTAATTTTCAAATATATTACTAAACTGTTGAACAAATTTTAAAATTGACATCAATTTTATAGGCTACCAAACACAAAATTCAAAATATTGAACCTAAATAATACAACTCTATTTTTCGTTTAATCGCTTATTTTTAAATCACTGACGAAGCACAACCAAATTTTTGAGCATTAAATTTTACCAATGTTTTCACTACTCAAATCAACATTCTGACTTTCATTCCATTCATCATTGCTCGTGCTGATGATTTTCTCTAACACATCAATAGGGCTCTCTTCTATCGATGCGTTATTTTTACATCTCACAATTTTCACAGTGTTTAAAGGATGGTTACTTTTAGACAAACCACTATACACCGCTGCTTTTGTCACTTAAAAGATTGAATTTAACATTTTGCCTCTCCTAAAACTTAAATTTAAAAGTAAAAAGTTAAATTACATATTTTTTCCCTAAATTTTTAAAATTGTGTTTAATCATTTCATTAAGGCCCCTGAAATTTTAAGTTGGCGTGAATAGTTTTTTTTAACTTTAAAAGTGTCAAATAGTTCACTGGATTTTTAATAGTATATCTAAAAAGTCTCTAAACTTTCAATTTTATATCTAATACGTCACTCATTTATAAGACATTGTTTAAAATTAAAAAACATATTAAACACAAAATTAATAATTCGAAAATTTCCTTTCGATACTTTTAAAAGTTTAATTATCTATGAGACACAATGAACTTAGTTATTAGACATAGTATCTTGCAGACAGTATTAAAAATTCAAAAGGCACATTAAATATCTTTTAATATTTTAAAAATCAATCGGACATAACTTTTAAAATACAATAACCAAATTTATAATTTAACGGAAAAAAAAAACAGACAAACAAACCAAATTTGGCATTGCCTTGTCTTTAGTAGTCTCAGCTCATATGAGTACACACGTGGCGGCTTCACTAAACTGTAGACACGTAGGACCTTCTTGTAGCCGTCAGATGTGCAAAATCCAAAAACAATCGCTACCGTCAAATTGTTCGTGGGTCCCACTCCAGCACCTCCACACATCCTAAATCGAAAAGTCAAAAAACAAAATGAATTCAGAAATTGAACCCGTGCAATTTACTTAACACGTGAGCCCCACGTGCCGCGACCCGAGTCCCCAAACCGGACCCGCCCCGGCTATCCAATTTTGAATTATATATATATAAATGGTATAAATACTATCATATTCCTTGTACTTTTGTTTAGTTTATTTTAATCCTCGTATTTTTAGTATTTTTATTTTAATTTTTTTACTTTCAAATTTTCTTCATTTCATGTGTCGTACTTTTAAAATATTTATTTTATATTTTATACTTCTAAAAATGGATTAATTTAATCTTTATTTGTAAAAATTTTAATACAAAAATTTATAACAATGAAAATTCTTGAGTACACATGATTGACTGGATTTTAAGAATTTTAATGAATGAAATGTCACTGTTTAAAAAATTTAGATAAAAATATAACTAAAAATATTAAATATATATCAAAATAAATATTTAAAAGTACAGTAATTAAAATAATAAATCGAAAAAATGGACCCCATATATATATAATGGATTTTTTTACTGGAGGTGGGGCCCGGTTTTTTTTTCGGATTTAGGGTTTTGGCGTTTTGGGAGCACGCCAAGTGAAGCGCGTGGGCCCATATATAATTGGCGGGGGATAAAGAAGACATAGAGGAGGTGGGCCGGATTCAGGTGCGGCGTACTCACACCATAACTCATACAGTTGCATTCTGTTCTTTGTATGATTGAACAATCAAAATCAAAGAGATTTTAATGACGTGGAAGCGCTCTATTATGAAACCCCAAATGCATGCGACTGTTAACCAAGCAAAAAAAAAAAAAAAATTCTAAAATGTGCTATTTATTAATTCTGCAAATCTTCTAAATTGATTAAATAAATTATTGAGTTTAAATTTTATAAAATGGTGGCATGTTTGACCAATGATTATTTGACCGATAACCAGATTTAAATACTATTTCAATTGATATATTTAAATTTTTGGTTCATTTTAATCTTTCAAAATAATTATTTCGTTTTGTTTTCTAATACTTTCAAACTTTCAACCTTTTTCATTTTAGTTTTTATACTTTTGAAAGGTTTATTTTGGTTTTTTACGTATAGAGTGATAAATTTTGTCTCTTATTTTCGTTTTTATCTCTCTTTTTTTCTTATTATAATTTAACATGCCACTTTACTCGTTAAATTGCTTGAAATGTAGCTATAAATGTATATTAAAGGGTTTCATTGGATATAAAATTTGTGTCAAATTTTTGCAAATATAGACCAAATTAATCAATTTTTAAGTACACGAACAAAAGCGAAAGTTTTAAAAGTACAATTACTAAAATAACAAATGTAGAAAAGTATACAAATCAAAATGAATGTTTTGAACAAAATAAAAAATACAATGACCAAATAGTATTTAAACTATTCCTATTATTATTTTATCTAGCCAGCGTGCTCTATTACATTACATCGTCCATTAATTGCATAACTATTTAATAATTGAAAATAGTCCGACTGGAATTTCCAAATTCGAATGCGAATGTTCACGCTTGATTCTCAATAATTATTAAATGTCGTCTTATAAAAATATTGTTAACATTCCATGTGAAGCAACTGACATGTCAAACTACAAACATGTGTTATCAAATTAATTAAGTTAATAACAACTTAAACATAGCTCAACTGATTAAATTACTTAGTTCAAACAAAAAAAGTCTTGAATTTGAAAAAAATAAATTAATTAAGTTATCATTTTATTTTCTATTAAACAATAAGTCTATTCCATCGCTATAATTTAAAATTCGATCTTTGATATTACATTGAACAATTATTTTTTGGATTTAAGAGATCAATAAAACGAGTTAGGGAAACTAATTTTTCATTTATTTGTTACGATACGACATACCAAATACAAATACAGTCTCAAGCTTGAAAATTTTAAAAGGGGCATTAGGAAATTTATGACCAAAATTTCAATTCTAACCTATTTAAGTAAAATAAAAAGGAGGTCGAAAAATAAAAATTAGAAAAGAAAAAATGGACGGCCAAGATTGAAAGGGCGGGGGAAGGGGATCCAATGATATAGCGGTTGTACTGATAAAACTGTAACACACGAGTACTGCCACACTGTAACGTCTTCCATCCCACGTAAACTCCTGCTTTCACACTCCATTGGGTCCCACTGTGGACACTACTCCGGGCCCCACCTTTTTTTCTTTTCTTTTAGATCTTTTTTTCTTTTTAAATTTTACTATCTTTAAAACTAATTTATAAGATATTATAACTCGGCTCAAGGGAGCTTTTCCCACCGACGGTAGGAGAGTTGTAAAAAAGAGTAAACACTATGATTCTTAAGTCAGTAGTTGGTCGACTTATAGTCAAAAGAAAATATAGTTTCGCGT